TCGCGATAACAAGTCCACGGTACGATATTTATCGCGATATTGAAAAATAAATAAAGAATTATTTTAAACATTTATTTTGACAGTTATTTATATTTTACTTAAAAAAATTAATCTGATTTGTACAGCATTTTAATAGGATAGTAGTATTTTAAAGTGCACAAAATATAATAATCAGACCCTGCAATAAAATAAATCAAGTTTCACTTTAGTTTTTCAAGTAACTCAACTCTAACTCACTCACTCAGCATCATCAGACAGGTTATTTTTTATGAATATGAGCATGTCCACCTTCCAGGTAGAAGCTGGGATGTTTGGGCATTTACAATATCCCCTGCTGTGGAAAAAACTATCTTGCTTGGTACTGATGTTGCTGCAGAGAGATATGCTTTGGCCATGGGTGACAGCAGTGGGTAAAACTGTGCATTGTCTCTCCACCACTTCAAAAACAATACCGTTTTTGCCAAGAAGGTGAGGCTTATTGACAGGGCGAGATATACTTTTGGTACTGTTGTGCACCGACAGAAATGTTAAGAGAGTTTCATTTTTATGTTGTTTTATGGTTGTTTTGTCACTCACCATTTACCTGTCATTCCAGGTTTCCTGATTGTCCACCTCTTGTGTGTCTCCCGTGCTCATCAGCACCAGCCCCGCCCCTGATTGTCGCCACCTGTGTCTTGTTATCCTGTGTTTAAATTCCCCAGTCTCCCATGTGTTCTTCGTCAGTTCGTCATGTCTCTTGTCAGATCTATGCTCTCCTTGAAACCATGTTTCACTACGTGAGCGATTTTCTTTTGTTCACCTTTCGTCATCTCATCAAGAGATTAGAAAATAAAGTATCTTACCAATACTACTTTACCTTAGTGATGGTGAGATGAAGCCTTATGAAGCTTTCCAGCCAATTGGTTCGCAAAAGGGTTCATCTCATGAGGCTTCATCATGGGCTTCATTTGAACACAAACCCCCCTGTTGGTCAAAGTGTGTAAAACAGGCAGATTGGACATCTCAACAGTGTGCTCTATCTCATACCGAGTTCCCATTACCGAGTAAAGCCTTAGAATACCTCTAAACAATGAACATAAAATCATATTTTCATGTTAACAATATTGTATTTATTCCAGTTTAATGATTGTGATTGAAAAGCCTAAGGAGGCTGGTAAACATTGCAAAGAGGGATTTGTATTCCTTAATAATATTCATAAACTTAACCATGTTGTAGCCTGAGAAAGGCTAAACCATATCAAAGAATACATTTATTAACTACATTATCTCATTTAGCTGTAGCTTTTATAAACAACAAAAAACACGTATTGTTCAGTCGTTGAACCAGGGACCCTGCGGTCATGAGTCAACTGCTTTCCAGCTGAGCCACAGCACACACACTGAATGTCCCTGAAAACACTGCAACATGTCTCACGACGGTATCAAGACATTTATTTATCGCGATATTCGATATATCGTTACATCCCTAGTAAATGTGGTACAATATACTGTAGACCAATAGTCTGCTGCTGTTTATTACAGTCTCTGAGATAAGAAATACTAAGTTATAAGAGGAATTGTCACTGAAAATAACATTTATTCACACAGGGAGTAATAATACATCCAGCACTGAGAACTTATGTATCTTACCCAATGAAGTATTCATTTGTGTATATATATATATTCATATTTTATTTAATTGAACAGGCCGAAATAATAATAAATCTGCAGTCAGTCGACAAAGGCAAGTTGTATGAGGAAAATGGCAGGCAATTTTCACTAGATTGATGGCTTAAAAACTTTTCTCAAGTTTAAGAGCTAACAGTCACACACTCTGTATATGTCTGAGTAATTCTGAGGCAATATCTTAATATTTTTCTTCAGGGATAAGTATCGGCTCCCTACCTCCCTACTTCTGTTCATTACAGTGATACAGTAGAGATAGTGTATTGTGAACTTGATTCACTGTGGGACCTGAACATACACTTAGAATATACTTTCTTAAGACAAAAATAGCATCTAAATAAAAATTAAGTTGTTTAACCTGACACACATATGCTGCAAATTAGATTTGGTGATGAGGAAACATTTATACTGTGACATCTAAAAAGATTATAACAAAAAATGTTTGAGACCATATCATTAACCATAATCACATGCTGGTTTTTATTATCTTTATTTTTCAGTGGCCTTCAAAGTCATATAGATACAAAAAAGTTGTACAAGCAATAATTTACTGTACATTTTCTACACTATCAATAGCCAATAGTCTGAAATGTTGACGTGTAAAAACAAAAATAAAGTGCAAGTGTCATTTTTAACATTAATGATACCTGCATGTGGGGGCTGTGGATCAGTGGAGTGTGTTAATCTTTGGATAAGGGGAGCTCTGGTTCCAACCCAATTGCATTCAGCACGTCGTTGTGTCCCTGGGCAAGACACTTCACCCCAATTGCTCCTGTGGGTACTGCCCACACAGTGGCGCCAGCAGGGGGGGCCATGGCCACCCTGATATATTTGTTGGCCCCCCCACTGGCCCCCCCACCACACACACCGCCTCGCCAGTCACGTATGCGTAGTAGTTTATCTGATATTTAACAACAAATACACAGCCAGCGAGTCGCTTGATTTGAGCTTCCAACGCTCATACTGCAGTACCCTCCCTCTGCTACCATGGTAACACTCTGATACTCGCGCGCACCACTCTGAGATTCGCACAGACAGCAGCAGGTTGCAGCAACGTTTCTTTCTACTGACTTTTCTACTGACTTGTCACAAATCCACCAGACTTCTAGAAGGTAAGTCATATACGTTCGTTGCCTGTTATGCCCCACAACACTTTAGGCTTTAGTGTGTTAGCTTTAGGTAGCAAAAAACGGAGATATGCTTACCTTTAGCTGATATTCTGATCAAAATGTGTGTTCAATGGCATTAAAACGAGAAAAATGCTGGAAGACCTGGAAAACAGGCTCGGGGCTCAGTAAAGGCTGGCTTGACTTATGTATAATTCGTCTGTAAACACACTTTGGCGGCTATCCTAGTTAGCGTTAGTTTAGCTTGCTAAGCTAACGTTAGCTGATGTCGGTATGCTGGGCTGGTGTAATGCGTAGGCTACTATTGATCACTGCTGTGTGTAATGTCAATTTGCAGAAAATGAAGAGAAAGTCAACAGACATCTCTTCTTATTTTAAGAAGAAGATGAGTAAAGGAGAGACAGAGCTGGCAGGGGAGCAGCAGCATAGAGCTAGTGAGGAGAGGGCCATACATGCTAGAAAGTACATGTGGAACTCTGTTTTGTAAAAGTGAAACTAAAACCTAAGTACAGTTTTATTAATGTGATTGTGACCTTTTTAATCATTTAAGTCTTCTACACACTTTAGATCTGCAGCTCCTTCAAAATGAAACGAGAATCTACAGTATGCAGTTTTTCCTCTTCTGTGTTCTGAGGTTATAAGCCGACCATTAGTCAAGTTTGTTTTCATAATGTTCTGTATGCTAATTTAAAAAAGGGTAACCAGTTTGTTTATAAAGTATAAATATACATTTTCAAAACAAATGGAATACAAGCTATATGTATTACTCTCACCACAGTGGCCTAATCTAAAAAAAATAGAATGTCTCGTCACCTATTTTCTGTCTAATACTAAAAGGTGGTGTTTTGTATCATTTATAATGTTTTGAATTTGCTATAAAGGTCAATAATAGATGGTGTTTTTGTGTTCAATCACAGTATGTATTTACCATTTTATACCCCTTGTGTTTTTGGGTCCTGTTGAAATAAAATAGTCATGTTTTAAAACTTGATTTAATAAAGTCATGTCAATCATCTTTGATCCCAGTGTGACACAAACAGCTTTGTTCAGTCTAAAACAATTTATAACATAGAGACATAATATAACTGAAGAACATGTTGTGTCGCTGTTGTGTATTGTATGTGTTGAGAATGCTGAACATTTTGTGCCTTACAATAAAGGAACTTATTTAAATTAAGCTGTATTTGTCTTTTTAAAAGGAAAGAACAACTAGCATATATAAAAAACAAAACAATAAATCACCAACACATGTATACATAACACAAAACAAGGTTCTTTTAAATGTTGTTTGAAGTAAAATGTTAACTATCCGTATTATATTCACTTCAGATGAATAGTATCAGAAAATGTAAAATAAGAAACCAAAGTATATCAGTAGGTGATTCTCTTTGCCATTGTTTTCATCTAGTCTATACTTTTACAACAATTAAATTCTTGGTTTTGGTGGGCCACCCCAAGATTTTCAGTGGCCCCATTTGGCCACCCGTATGAAAAATGTCTGGAGGCGCCACTGTGCCCACACTCCACAGTACCAAATGTATGTAAGTCGCTTTGGATAAAAGCGTCTAACAAGTGACATGTAGTGTAATGTAATATATAGTCAGTCACAGAGTCTTGATATGATGAATGCTGGTTTACCTAAATGGTTCCTGGGACACATAAGCTTATCCGTCATGTGTTTCATGCTAGATAACCTCTCTGCGGTGAAAAACATCCATGGTGTTGTTATTATAGTTTTGCAGCTGCCAGTCACCAAATTATTTTGGGAGTTTGCATGACTGACAAGGGTGCAGTTTTTATTATTTTGTTCACAATTAAATATGTGCAACGAGTAATATGTTAAACTGCTTTAAAATCAATTCCCCATTATTTGATTTACTTAAGCATTATAAATAGCTTTTTTGAACTTGCCTTTTCAGTTAAAAGTCGTTTTATTCACAGATGTAGATTTTTGTCTCGTGTAATATTCCTAATTCTCGTTTTCAATAATATTTTGTCATACTTTTCTGCATTCATGTTGCAGGAAAACACATGTTAAATGCATTTAAATCTTTGTGTACCTGTATCTAAATCTTTGTGTACCTGTATCTAAAGGTAACATGTTTATTCTGGGCAGTTTATTTTGTTATTTTCAAAAGAGAGATGTTTTTGTGCCGCTTTATCCACGTGTGTCATTTGTTTGCACTGAACGCACTTCCTTAGCAACGTGTATCTGAACCAGGAAGTACTTTCTAATGCTCTAGCTAACTAGCTGCGGTTAGCTACAGCACAGAGGAGTTAAAGTTTGTTTTACTTAGATTTGTGAGTCCATTTACCGTTAATGTGTATTAAACACATGCCTGGTACCATCGTGGTTAGCATGCAGTTCTGTCCCTGGTAGGAAAGGAGTGAAAACTGTAAGTTAAGCTTGTTTTGTTGGAGTGTTAGCGAGCTGTTAGCTAATAAGCTTACGAAAACACAGGACTTGAGGTAACTCATCTTTTAATTCAGTGTCGTTTGTTTAATCAGTAAAATGCACGTAGCACAAACGAAATAACATGTGTTTTAATGCGCTAACTTTAAGCCGATATGCGTAACGATACAATAACAGGAACTGTTAGGAAAGTTGATAGCGTCAATTTAGTGTAACGAGATGAGGTGACCGCGTCTAATAATATGCAAAAGTTTGATTTGTAGCCTTGTCGATCTCTAATATGAATAGCATATGTTTAGATAACGCTAGCTACAAGTTACATGTATTATATGATATTTGTGGTCGTGTTTGTACATTGGACACACAATCCATTCACTGTCGGTATAATCAGATTCTGCTGTAGTGTTGGTCCAAGTTATAACCTGTCTCATGCCCTCATGTGTCAATGTGTGTGTGGTCCAGAGCTGGGGACAACCATACTGCTGCTTAGCAAGATTGTCCTAACATCTGTACATCTGCATCAAAAACATGAAATAATCGTATCCTTTATTACTCCTCAATGTTTCATTTTCTTTTGTTATTCATTTTTCACAGGTGTACAATGGGAATGGATTTCTTACCACTCTGTGATAGGCCACGATAGGCTTGTCAAGTAATGCAGGCGTTATGGAAAGTCTAATGAATTCTGCTGAAGAGCAGCAGCCTTCCTCTCCACCGGGCAACTCATGGTCCAAACAAGAAGAAATAAACAAGAATGAAACGCCAAAATGTGTTGGTGGATTTGTTCTAGTGCATGCAGGTGAGTTTGCAACCCATAACTAACAAGAAGAAATAAGAGCCTATTAGAAATACATAAAAGCAGCATTACGTCACCAAATATAGTTTCCTGCTTATTGGAAGTCACTATCACCTTTTATCAATGATGCAATGCTTTTTCCCATTGTGTAATTTTAGGAGCAGGATACCATTCTGAATCTAAGGCCAAAGAGTACAAGCATGTATGCAAAAGAGCCTGCCAGCGGGTACGTTTATTTTATTGATATCACTATAGTAAACGTTGTGTGTGTGCTAACAAACACCATAACATTGTACTGTTTTACACACAATCTGCATTATTCTTGATGAAAAAAAGTTATTATGTATTACTTCAATCAAGGTTTAGGAAGTTCACAGTATGTGATCTGTTAAATACTTACTGTGTGCAAAGCAACAGCATATATCAAACATTGCATAGCTTTCCTTTAAATAAAATGAAAGAATGCTGCTGTTACACTATTATATTTAATTTAGCTGAAACTTTGCCAGATATGTTGTTGTTGATAACATCTTAGTAAAAAATAATTATACTGTCACTCCGTTATCTTCCAGGTTCGCATATACAAACCTACCACATGTCTTGATGTGATATATAAATATAAACAGAGATATTTGTTCATGCTTTGATGAGGCCAACTTTTTTATCTAATAGTCAACAGTTGCTCTGATGAGAAATTATATATATATATATATATATAATTATGCTATAACACCACATTAGTCAACTAAAAGTTGCAAAAATACTATAGGTATGTGTAAACTTCCCTCTACTACAGTTTGGTACACACTTGTTTTTTCTTTTTCTATCATTTGATCTGATGTTTTCAGTAAATATGTAAGTAACCTTGTTTTATCAGTTCAATCAACAAGATATTGGCATCTGTGAACAGCTGTCATTACATATATTTTCAGTCTGTGTTTTGGCAGTGGCACTCAAGCACTTTCCTGATCTTGTTTTGAAGTCATTCCAGTTTTCATTTGGCTGTATTAAGATCATTTTGCTGTTGGAATGAAAGTCTTTGTTCTTTTGCACTCTGAACCAGGTTCTTCTTATGGTTATTAAACAACCTTATGGGCCTTCAATCACCCTATATGTACAATAGGAATGTTCTTGATGGGTGAGGAGCTGTGCCCAGTTTCCACTGGATTAACTACTTTGAATTATGGCCAAATAGTTACATTTTACAAGGGGTCTTATCCTTTCATGCTGCCCGTGTCCCTTTTTACATATACACATACAAGGTAAACCTAATTAAATCCAGGATCCTTATAGGTTTTACGCGTGTCTTTACCTTGGTTTTATCTCCAAGTTGGAGTTTTTAATGAGGCTGAAAATCCCAGTTTGCTCTGTCAAGGAGTTTATGTTGTGAGTTACATTTGTGTTATGTTTGTTAGTTAGCAGGATATTAGTATTTCCAGTAAATGCAAAGCAGTTTGATTATGTAGGGCAGGGCTATTCAATTACACATTCAGTTGGGCCAGATTTTATAACTACAAAATTCAGCTGGGCCAGACATTCAGCGGCCTGTAAAAAGCGGGTAATGACACATTTTAAACCAACACATATTACTGCGATGAAAAACATGCCATTTTTATTCATTGTTCATCTAACAAAGGTACGTCAAAAAGTGCATAAAAACACAACAAATTAGCATTAATTTAACAGAATCTGAAAAAAATGCACAGTTGTAGCATTACATTTGTTTGCTTTAGAAGTCAAATATTCAGGTTTTTTTTTTTTTAACCAGGCACATCACAAAGTGCATTTAACTGAATACAATAATAGCAGTCTTAATAAATGTCCTCACATACAAAATAAAATTGGATACATAATGACACATGCACATCAAAAAGTGCATTAACAAACAGTTAAAGAGCTCCAATGTAACAAAAAGAGGAAGTAGCCTACTATAGCAATACTATTTTTTCACTTTTCGTAATAACAAAAAAATCATACGTTTTGGTCACATTTGACCCAGACACATTACAAAGTTCATTTAAATGAATACAAAAATAACTGTCAAACCCGCCTAGTGGAGGTATCGAGTCCCCACAGGGTATACAAACCCATAACAAGGGATAAGGGTAACTATGAATGAATACTACACTACACGTCTACTATAGTAAACTAGGTGCTTACTATCACCTCATTTGTGATTTGTCATCGCTGACTTTCAAGTGACATTTTTAGTTTTGAACAAGAGCAGTGATTTTTGGCTCATAGGATGTCAATGCAATCCTAAGACATTGGTGAAGAGTGCTGTCAGTCAGGGAGCAGCGAGTGCTACTTTTCTTTTAGTTAATGTGTGAAAAGCTTGATTCACATTTGTATGTTGATCCAAACATACTGAGCACACAGATCGCTACTTTCTGAACGTTAGGGAACTGCTGTTTTTTTACATCACTCCAAAACTTCGCTGGCCCGTTAGTGCGCTGCTCTTGTGCAATGGTTACGGATGACTGCATGTCAATACATTCCAGTGTACATTTCCCCTCGTCGATGCAGGGGACCACTTATTTTTGCTCTGGTTGATACGTCCCCCTCTATTGCAACAGTGAAGGGGTCTCTGGCAAAGCCCATCACCTCTGTGGGCAGAGCAAGTCCATCTAATCGACCGGCAAAGTTCTCTTTCAACCTCGCAATGAAATATGTCATCACATCCGTGATTTGTGCCGGGGATGTGATGTGTTTGTGGAGCGTCGGAAAATGCAGTATCCGACCTGTACTCAAGTCGGTCGCGAAAAGGTCCAGCTTGACTTGGAATGCGCGCATCTGCTCCACAAGATCAATGACCGTTTTGTCTCTGTTTACGCTTCAGAGTTGAGAGAGACATGTTTTAGAGTTGCCATCATCACCGTTACTAGCAGCACCACAGATGCACATTCACAAAACGTGCTGCGTTGTTGTTTAGTGGTTTATATGCAACGCGGAGTGTTGCGTTCATGGTCTGTACTAGTGTAGGAATTTGGCTACGGGAGGCTGGGCCACTCTGGAGTTGGTTCTGGGCCGCATCTGGGCCGCCATTTGAATAGGCCTGATGTAGGGGCTAGAATCAAATCAGGCGCTTTGAAGAAATGATTTATTTCTGTCCATATCCCATCCTTATGTAACTGACTTTGATGAAATTAGGTAATGAAAGTACAAAAGGCTGAAATGAGCAATGGGTGCATTCGGTTTTTACTGGAAAGCTGTTGCACATTCAACAAGGCTGTCTCTCTTTTCCAGGCTGTGGACAGACTCAAAGCCGGGGCCCTCGCAGCGGAAGCAGTGGCCGCAGCACTGGTTGAACTTGAGGTTAGTTATTATGGTTCCAGGTTTTATTATAAAAAGTTAACTGTTATGAACTCAGTATTTAGTAACAACATGATTTGCATAGATTGAATTACCTAAATTGGACATAACAACCGATCAACTTTTCAGTGAAAGTAAGAAACCTAATTTGACATGTGTATGTGTTTATCCAAAACAGCTTTATTCAGCTCCAGCCTCCAATGCATGTACGCATATCCTGTTGGATGATGTAAGAGATGATTTTACTCAAGGCAGGCTTGGAATAAAGAACAATGACCTCAATGAACTCTCTGCAGCTGTAAAGCTGTGCAGAAAAATGCAGTGCAGCTAGCACTCGTGTTTTTTAAGATTACAATAGAAAGTTTCAGATATATTTGCATCAACGTTTTAAAAGCAAAGCTATTTTTAATACTGCCTTAAGCCCACAACTTTATCAGCCAAAGTTCTAAGGTGATTTAGCACAAAAACCCAGATTGCGGCTTGAAAGAAAATGTTGTTTTGTTATTAAATTAAAGAGCAATGATTGCATTGTTTGGCACGTTTCACAGAGAGTAGATCACCATCGGTAATTTGTGACGATTTTGTAAAATGTTTTAAATCATCTTGATTTAAATCTCTTCCAGTATTTTATTTGTAGTTGGTGATAAGCTGTTTCAAAGTATTGTTTTGAAATAATCTACCAACTGTAGTACATTCAGCAGAGCCGTTATATAAGCTGCTGATTTCAAAGGTCAAATATTTCCAACAAACTATGGGAAGAAAATGACTTTACTTCAACATATTAAGATTGACAATGTGGTTTATTGCAGATATAGTTTTATTCTAGGCTCTCCTGGTCCTTAATTGTTCTCAGGACTCTCCTTTTACAAATGCCGGCATGGGTTCCAACCTTAATTTGTCCGGGGAAATTGAATGTGATGCAAGTATCATGGATGGGAAGTCGCTGCATTACGGGGCGGTTGGAGCTATAAGTGGTGAGTTGTTACACATGCACTGATCTGTATGTAATATTGCTGTGTTGCTGTGGCAAGTTCAGTCAGCTGGAAGTAATGGCATATGTTTCACTCATTTAATTTCTTGCATGTCAGAATTTCTGTAGAGGTTCATAAACAATGGGGGACCACCCACTTTTTACTTGGAGAACAACCAGAAATGCTGTTAATATGTACACATACACATACTCAGAACGTTTTTAATATAGAAAGTGTTCAATAAAAGCATGTTTCCCTACACAACAACAGCCCAGGGGTGAAAGCTGCACTTTACATTTTGTCCATTTGTCTTCATCTAGTAACATTTAACATATTGTTTGGGCATGATGAGTGAAACTTTGTCAGCTTAGATATAAAAATATCTGCCAACCAGTGTTTTTCATAAGATTGAAATAGATTAAAAGCAATCCTGCATTCATTGGCGTTCTTGTGTTACTAAGAAATAAGGAAAATGTGCAACAACTACTAAGTAAACTTAACAAATATGTACAAAACAAATCCAGTTGACCTATACTACCAGACTTAATGATATGACTAAAGGATTATGTGTGTTTACCAAGTATCTTCCTAGAAGAAACTGTTAGCCCTCTGATGATTCTGACTTTCCCTTCAGGTATTAAGAACCCGGTCTTAGTTGCAAACCGTCTTCTGAGTGAAGCACAGAAAGGGAAACTATCAGCTGGCAGAATACCACCCTGGTGATTATAATGGTTTTTAATTAAAGGTGGGGTATGTCATTTATTTCAGAAACACTTTTTGTTATATTCCATTGAATGCTCTTAACATCCCGATAGCAATGAATATATGAAATGCTTTGATAATAAATACATACAAAAATGTCATCTGTGGAAGCCGTGGCGCTGTAAAAAGCACGACCAATCATTTTAGCCGGCCCGGCTAAAATAACTGGATGGCCTACCTGCCTGTCAGCCTTCCATCTGTGCACAAACTTATCTCGTGCCCTCATTGGTCATGTGCACGTTCGTGTGTGTTGGAGGAGGGGCTCTGTAAGGAAGTGGCAGATTTTTTCCGGTTGTGTATTTTAAAATTCTAGTGCACTCGAGCTGGTTTCTCCAAAATTACCTACCCCACCTTTAATGTTGTTTTAAAGTGATTATATCCATTTGTTAATTTGCTTTGCTTTGTCAGCTTTTTAGTGGGGCGAGGAGCACATGATTGGGCCGTCGGACATGGAATACCACCGTGCCCTTCAGAGAAAATGGCCACCAGTGAGTTTGGTTGCACTGATTCAGAAATATGCTCCTTTTGCAAAACTGAAACAAAACACAGTGCTCTCTTAACCTTTGGCAGAGGTGCTTTTATCGATGTGGATGTGTTTAATAAATTATATAATTTTGTTTAAATCACAGAGTTCAGTTTATCTGCGTATAAGAGGAACAAGCGAAAGATGGCGCTGGCAGAAAAAATGGACACTGGTCATAATCATGCAAAGAAAAGACGACAATCAAGTGAAACTGTGAGTACCATGTTATCATTATTATTATTATCAGTTAAGATACAAATATTTGTAATATTATTTATCAATTGTATTCTTTCTCTACTGCATTTATTGAGTGAGAAAGCACCAACCCCTAGTGGACAGCAAATAGCATGACTGTACCACCTAATAATCAATACCTCCTTGTGGGGATTGAAGTGATATAATGCCTGTATGCGAAACTGAAATCACACATTTTATTTGCTATAAGTATTAAAAAAATAAAGTGTTTTAAACCCCCTCATAGCCTTAGCTTAGGTGTTGTCAAATAAGCTAATAGAGACAGTATCCAGCCACTGTTTACACCTACGTGAAAGAACTATACAGAATGCAGTAAAACACCTCGCTAATAAATAGCATCAGACCCAGGATCCCTAACCAGCAGTTAAGCATGGGGAAATATGGCATCAAACTGCATTTAAAAAAGGCAGGAAACATCAAGTAGAATATGTTATTTTATACAGGAAAGGAATTTAATGACTCTCCACAACTAAGACTTCTAGATATATTCTGCCTTTTATGATCTCACATTGACAAAGGGTCATTAAAGGAAGTGGCATTACAATGGTGCACAGAGGATTCCAAGAAATGATTCAAGTTTTGACAAGAGTTACGGCCCCTACACACGGCGGTGTGCGTTGCCGCTTCAACGCTTCTGCCCATTCACTTTGAATGGGGTGATATCACGCCTCGCCGAACTGCATTGTGGGAGAAAAGCGTAGCGCAATGTTCTACTTTTGACGCTTCGACGGAGGCGTCAGCTAATCGAATCATATGCCAGTACTAGCTCTAGCCAATCAAACCGCGTGCTTGTGTGTCTGGGGCGGGAGATTCATGTGATTGGTTGTTGGTCAAGTTTCAGCCCCCCCCACCGGCAAGCGACAACGCACGCAGCCGTGTGTAGGGGCCGTTACGGCCCGTCTACACAGCAGCGTTAAAAAAATCTTCCAACGCTTCTCTGCCCATTCACTTTGAATGGGGTGACGTGACTTTGCCTCGCTTTTAGCCGAACTGCATTGTGGGGAAGCAAAGCGAAGATTTACAGGATTTTCAGGATTTTCAGGATTCAAAAGTTGAGCAATGTTCAACTTTTGAAGCTGAGGTGGAAGCGTCAGCCAATCAAATCCCGTTTATGCAAATTTGACAGTACAAGCGCAACCGCAGTTCATTTCCTCATATTCCAAACGAGAAATGACGGTAGTAAATCACCCGGTTCTTTACGACCAGTAACTATTTACCGGAATACAAACCGGAGGAACCAGGCATGGAGGGAGGTGGCAGAGACAGTGGGTGAAACTGGTAGGTTTTCGCCTGTTTGGGGAGTTTATATATATATATATGTAGCTCGCATAAAATCCCCGGGTTTTTTTGCTTTGTATGTCGGGGGCGGGAGATTCATGTGATTGGTTGTTGGTCGCGTTGCTCGCAAAAAATCCCCAAGCTTTCAGACACGCCCACCACCAAGATTTTCAAGATTTTTTCAAAGCTGCAGTGTGGACTGGCCGTTAGTGCAAAGTTGCAGTACTCTGAGCAGCACAGCAGGAGTTGATGATCAACTGAGTAGAAATTAGCTGAAAAAACACTCATTCTGCTTTAAAGTCACTGGTGGCAGCAGCACAGAACAGGGTGGGAGAGTTTCTCTTGGGTCAAACATGCTTTGTGTTAAATTAAGTAAAACGTGTTAATGGCCAAAGCCTTATATGCTTCATTATAACTCATTTTGAACAGTATTATTGTTTGTTTAGGTCAGTTACATCAGTCCACAATATTAATGATATATACACTGGAAGAAAGAGTAACAGCTAGGATTCAATGTTGACTTAGGCAAGGGATTTTGAATGAGTCTCAAATGACTTATTAGTCTAATGAAGATTTTAGTTGCCCTCTGTTCTCATCTGTCTCTTACGTGTTTACACAAAACTGCTTGTGCTAATAAGGATAAATGTGTGACCATTTTTAGCAATTAAGCTACAACTGAACTGAACATAACTCATACTCTGACTGTTCACATGCGAGCCATGGCTGATTTGAGGTTGTTTTAAAATAAATTCCTTATCAAAATGTGTCATTAATGTTCTACATTAGTTGACATATTAAGGAAATATCCTCATTTTGTTTCTAAAAATGCGTATGGGTCCCAACAAAAAACATTATCGTAGCAAGTCTGGTTTTCATTTAACACATTGTTCTTTTTATGCCTTTGTCGTTTTGCCAAGCAATAAAAAAAACGTTTCTCTGCAATATATGCACCTGTCTCGTGATGGTGTATAGCTGCAGGGTTGTTAAAGAAAATCTAAAGCAATTCAAAATCATTCTGACGATGCCATTACGTTTTACAGTCATTATTAATGTACTGTGGATGTTTCTTTTTCATTTAAGGACACTGATAAGGAATGACAGGATGTTCTTTGTAGCATTTCGAAATTGTTGGCTCTCCTTCTTTTTGGTCTCAAAAGCCAGAGAGACAGAGTTGATTTAGGAGAGCTTAAGACAGATGGGAACCGCTGTAGCGTTTAAGTCCAAGGTTCAATAGAGATGTTCAGTTTCTGCTTGGAGTGGAGCTCTGATCGTGTATCCTGTTTTCTACCCTGTAGGACTATTCATCACGGAGTCGTGATGGTTCACAAACAAGTTCCTTCCAAAGCAAACTGCAATCAGGGAAGGCGAACAGCTGATTAAAATCACAACAGCACATGTTTGATGAAAAGTGAAGGGCAAGGATTAGGGATAAAAAAAATGCATGCATAACATCGTTCACTTTGGAAAAGTCTTATTTAAAGAAGATGCCTCTGTTTTTAGAATGTGAACATTTCCGATTTTATCTCCTTTTAAGTTGCCTGAAATGTATTTGAATTAGTGTATTTTGGGTTTTTTCACTGTGATGTGATTCCTCTCTTTACTGTGATGTAGGAAAATGGTTCAGGGTGCCTGGACACGGTGGGAGCCGTGGTGGTCGACTCGGAGGGGAACGTAGCTGCGGCGGTGTCCAGTGGGGGTCTGGCCATGAAACATCCGGGCAGGGTGGGCCAGGTACGCTCCATCTCCTCCTTTTCTTTCATGTCTTTACACAGAACAAATAATATAATATAATTTACAAGGCTAAAACAAGCCTTTTATTGGAGAGGCATGTCATTATTTCAATGTGTCCTATTTAAGATGAATATTATAGTACAATATTGTAGAAATACTTTTAAATAAATATACCATTATGAAGAGTGTGGCAAATTATAATGATATGCTGCATGCAATAATAGGTTTTTCCCTTCCTTCATTACGTCACGTCATTAATCAATATTTAACTTAACTGATATATGTGATAAGGTTAACCAGAAACCCAGTGGGAAAAATTACTCTTTCTACAGGTATTTTAACCTTTTAGCTCATTAAATACCCAGACAATTTATTAAAGATGCAGTCTTACTGTTCTTAAAACCTGTTTTGTGCAAGCAGTCATTTTTACACAAACAGCCACAATGATGTCTGTCTGTGTGTCTGTCTGTGTGTCTGTCTGTCTGTCTGTCTGTCTGTCTGTCTGTCTGTCTGTCTGTCTGTCTGTCTGTCTGTCTGTCTGTCTGTCTGTCTGTCTGTCTGTCTGTATGTATGTGTGTCCGTCCGTCTGTCTGCAGCAGCCGGACAAACTGTCTGCACCAGGCTGATTGGAGGCAGACATTTAATGGACAAAAATAGTTTGATTTATACTTAGAATGAAGGAAATGGCATTGTTTTGAAATCTTCTTCTACACCATTTAATCAAATGCATCAATAGGCGCATTCACACTGCGGTACTTTTCCCACAAAGGTTCATGTGAACTTAGTTCATGTGAACTCTTTAGTTCGCATGAACTAAGTACAGATCGCGTTCACACTGGAAAAAGTCCCTGGAGGTGGATTAGGCAAATGAAGCCGCTGACGTCACTTGTTCTTCTTCTGCTTTGGGTTTACTGGCAGGCCGCAAAACCACTTCACGGCGTATACTGCCGCCCAAAGTCCCCGGCCGGAAGTCCCCGGAGTTAGGGACTGGCTTCAGTAGAAGCTGCTGGGAGTCCCAGCAGCTTCTACTGAAGCCTTCCGAGTAAATCGCCAGAACGCCGACACCTCCTCATCTCCACCGCTCCCATGTTTTATTTTGTGTTGCCATAAGTTAGTCTCTCTACGTTTCTGCGCTGGGCTAATGCTAATGCTAATAATGCTAATGAGAGGATAATAAAATGGCGGCTTCACAAAAGTTTTTGGGAGTTTTACGGGGCGTGGTTTGCAATCCGCCCAGCCAATCAGAAATATAGCTCTTTTCTCACAAGAGAGCCGCACGAAACTCCCTGCTCTCTAGCAGGGACTTTCGTGGGGGTAAAAAGGTTCACATTAACTAATTTTAGTACCGGCTCTTTTTGGTGTGAACGCGATAAAAGAGTTCACATGAACTAAGTTCACATGAACCTTTGTGGGAAAAGTACCGCAGTGTGAATGCGCCTCATCTGTTCTATGAGGCGAAAGAGTGACAAAAGTCAAGAATGCTTTCAAGTGTTCAAAAGCACATGCCAATGAAAAGATGGTTCCTGCCAGATGTGTAAACGGGGAATAATAACTCCATTAAACAACAATGAGCCAGGACTGTGTGTTTTTGCCTTTTTAATACAGATAGTGAAAATTAAGGATTTTACCCACAACAGAAAAATATCACTCTGATTGTCCTCATCAACATGTCTTAATTCAAACTCAACAATTACCATTAGATATATGTCTGTGTTGCGACTCATTTACTTTGAGGCAGCTACAGGAAGGTTTGAGTTAGCATGAACAACAACCTAACAATGGAGACAAAAGTGTGAATGAATCCGATGTACTGCCTTCACCTCATTGACACTATTACTGTTGAGAAAACCTGAAGCTCAGAGCAATAGAGTCATGAGTATGGCATGTTGTTCTAATGTTGGAAATGATGTGGAAATGTAAATTAGCCTGTATTTTACAAGGTTTACATTTATACATTCGGCTATGAGCTTGCCTTACTCATAGTTCTAATTTGAGAATAAATAATTTTTCAGCACTTCAAAGAGAAAGACAATTGTTATAACTTTTACAACTCCCCTTCATCTAAAATGTATTTATTTCCTCTCTTTTCTCTCTCAGGCTGCTCATTATGGATGTGGCTGCTGGGCTGAAAATGCCTTTAATAACCCTTACTCTACAGCAGTGAGTACCTCAGGTATACCACAGCACACTCTCTACAACCTACTTTGCAGTCGTGTGTGTAACTTCTCCTCTCACCGTTATTGTTTACCACATGCCTGCCTTTTGTTTTGGAGATAATATGAATCAGAAACACATATTTATTCGACGTGAGCCCCGTATTTAGCCTCGGTGAGTCAAACTTCAAAAAGCCTTATAATACTTTCCGATGACCTCCAGCCATTCCTGCTGAGTGACTCTCATCAGTCACTTCCTCAGCTGATTGAGTCATCATTCTCCACTCTCCGTTCGTCAGCTGCGTGCCAGGTGCATTGCACAGCTCTTGGGATTTGCAATGACATTTGACATGGGACACCTGCTGTAGATATGATAGGCAGAACCTCTGGGAGTGCAGCAGAAACACGATACGTTTGCAAACTTCAAGCGTAATTATCTAGCCTTGGATCATAACTTGGCTGGTCTAAATGAGTGGTATCATTCCTGGAAATTAAATCAGTTACAAGTTGCTTATGAGAAGCATATGCAGTATGTCTTAAGTCAATCTTTTAATGTGTTTGTTCCTAACCTTTGCAAAAAAAGCCCCCCCAAAGTAAATATTGCCATGTGTTTAATATTTAGGACAAAAAGGGCTTTTTATTTTGTTTCTATTTGTGTTATGGTATCTTTATAGCATCACATGCAAAAGGGATTCATCCTTAATTCTACCAATCTATAGAGCTTTAACTAGGAGATCAGAATCTAATTTAAACACCACCATTTTTAAAACTCCTGCAGGAGGAGAAAAAGGAAGATGAAGGTGGTTGTTTTTGTTAACACAGAATTAAAATCCGAATGATATGGTTCGAAAGCAGTAACCCAAGTTTAACCGATAAGAATTATGTAAGAAAAGTTATGTTAACATTTCAAAATAACTATCTGTTGAGAGAGCTATGACTATATAGCACTCGGGACTAAGTGAGAAAATGTGTTTCTGTGGGATTCCACTTGACAACCTCTCTAGTGAAAATGTGTTTTGCTACTGTTGGCAGCAAGGGCCTAGTGAATTTTGGAATTTAAAATGATTCAGCCTTTACAAGTCAGCATGTTAAACTTATAAAGAAACAGAAAATAAAACGTTTCATTTCTAGACCAATATTCCATTTCAAAACAAGTTGCAATATTTTTTAACCTATTAACAACCGTGCCTTAGTGTTTCTCAAAAATGAGAGTGCATGCATTCGCTAAAAAGCAACATTTCTGGTTGTGAGCTCTATGGTTTTGAAGGTGAGGTACAGAAGCCATAATAGCCCGCTTCCTGAAGATGTGTAGACGTCTGTGACATACTGTAGCTTCTGGGGAACATTTAGACCTTTTTGATGTGGATATGTAGCCTAATGCATTTCAGTGCAGACGAGCTGATTTGATCTCATATACTTATACATATACATATACTTGGAGCGCTGAGATACCCAGCGTTTTGCACCGCTAAAGCTTGTCTGAATATATTATAACCGGCAATCAGCGAGAAATGTGGGATAGAGTAACAACAATAGTGAGCCACAAAAACAAATATTTGCACTCTATTCTGTAATCATAGCTACAGTCCTGAGAGACCAAACGTATTATCTGCTATCTTGACCCAGAAAACATTCTCTCTCTGTTAGTTCTGAAAATGTCTGGCACATTAAATAGGGCCCTATAATGCTAACTTTCAGGTTTCATAATTGTATTCTGTGGCTCTACTGCGACATGTTTAAATGCTTTAATGTTCAGAAAGGTCTGCTGCAGCACCTCTTTTCACCCTCTGTCTGAAACCAGTCTGCTCTGTTAGCTGGGCAGCTGTGTTGTAGTTGGTCAAACTACACATACAATGTGTTGGAGTACTAGCAAATAGAAGCGCAAGTGATGTCACTATGTCGCGTTAGAAAACATAGGACTACAATCCTGGCGTTTTAGGCAGGGGGGGAATGTGTGTGAGATAAACTTGTGTGATGTGATTCTAGCCTTTGCAGACCTTTTACATGCACAAAAACCTATATAACACACTACAGGAAAGAGAATACCCCAAAAAGCATAATAGGGCCTCTTTAACTGAGACCTAACATTAAAACAAAACACACTTTATAAATGCATTAGAATCCCGATCATTTTTTATTATCTTAATAGTGATTTTCAATATTTTCTGTGCATTTACAATGATGACAGTTTTGTACCAAAGGTCTCTCACTTGTAGTCTTCTACTTAATTTGAGAAATCCCTTTAATCCTGTAATCACATTGAACAAGCAGTTAAAGCCGGCCACTAATAGTCTACTGTACATCAATTATCCCAGCAGATGAAGTGTAGATGTTTGCTCTCTGTGTGTAATTCTACCTCCATCCTGTCCTCCTATATTGTGGCTTTCCTTTGATGTTACTTACAACAACAAAAAAAGCTTCCCTTATGGGTATGGAGAACATAATGTGTGTTCCAGTACAACACCTGTTTTTAATTTCCTAACATGAAAGGCATTTCCATCAAAAGAACCAGAAAAACAATCCTTTTTCATTCTGACTGGAGGAGCCCGGTCCTCACCCTGTACTGTATGTCAGTCTCTCTTTCCTTCACCTCAACACCACTTCGCCTTGCCACCCCCTCCATTTTAGTGTGTTCTGTAATATGCGCCTCATGTGGGTCATTGTTTTATATGTGTTGACTGCTTGGCCCGGGCTTAGCTTTGCCATGGGAGAACAGCTCACACACTGTTTACTCTTGCTGCTGTTGGCTGTCACACAGTGTGTCTCCGACTGTTGGCCTCTTTTCTTTTGACATTTCTCTTCAATTGAGGTGCTGCTTCAGTCTTGGCATTTTGCTGCATTTCCATAATATCCTGTTCTCCTGGGACAGAGCAGTTTATGGTAAGAACAGCACAGAAAAACAGTACCTGGCCAATCCGACGTTCTGCTCTCGTATAAACTGAACTTCAAATTGCTCCAGGCATCTGGTCTCCACAGTTACCAACCTGCATTGAGTTTTGTTGTAGTTACCTGATATTTATGAGGCCTTCATTTGTTTTTACAGAAACAACAAGATTATATTCCTCCGTCTTTATGGGTTTTTGCGGGAGCTTTTGCCAGATGTGTTTTGTTTGCACTTTTAGATTTCTGAAGTGCGGGCAGACAGACAAGATTATATTGTAGGTATAGAACGTTTATCTGTTTTTGTCTAAACAAGGTATTAAGTAGCAAATATCCAACATGTAAAAAAGAACACCTGCCATGTTTTAATGTAAGGTAAGGAGGGGGATTCATTTGTACAGGCTGACCATGTTTTGATATTTCCAAGTTTGCTTTAATACTCAAACAAAGCTTTCTTAGTTTCCCTGGACTATTTTTATACCGTATGCAGCATAACTACAGAGCATACAGATTCATGTCCTAGTACATCCTCCTGTCACCTCTTTTTTTATTATGCAGCTTTGTCTGCTTGGACTGTAAGAAAAAATGTGTTGCAACCTTAAGAGATAGAATTCTTACTTTTGTATTTTGCATGCAGGCAGTCATATATTTACCTACACATGTTTAATGTCTTAGTCTCGGGGCTCTAATACAAGTCTTGTCTAGCCTCAACCTTTAAAAAATATTTTTTTTTCGAGTTTGGCCATTTAGGCCTTAGTAATCATCTTACAAAGTTACATTTAATGGTAAGATGTACATTTAAAAAATATAAAATTGATGACTACATATAGAAAGGTTATGTATGTTTCATGTGTGCCTTGACGTACTGCAGTTATACAGTGAGTTTACAGAAGTGGAATTAATACTGGGTGGCTGCTGTTTCAAATTCCCACACCAGCTGGGAATCCTGGAAGAGAAACTTGATGGGAAACACAAACCCTCCCTCAGCAATTACTGTCAGTCTGCCCTTGAGCAAGGCAGTTTTACTTGGCAGCCCCTGTGTGCGGTCATCTTTACCTGAAATATTAAAGCCAATAAAATGTCATGCTGCTGAGAAGATAATAAATGGACTGCAGTAGTACTACATTATTTGGGAATCTTTTTAAATGTGTAGTATCTTCCATTATATGTTGGAAACATTTGCCATATCTCTGAAAGTAAACGTGTGCATTTCTTATTGAAGGCATGCATGCTAGCAACAAAGAAATGAGTTAATGATAAGGGATTTAACTGTGTCTGTGTCTTTTGCCAGGCTGTGGAGAGCATCTGATTCGCACCATGCTGGCACGGGAATGCTCTGCTGCCTTGCAGTCTGAAGATGCCCACAAAGCACTGCTGGAGGCTATGCAAAACAAATTCATCAGTGAGTCACACATATGTATACACTACTTTCCATACACACATATTTGTAAGCTAAGAATGTGTTAGCAAAAAAACATAATTATGCACAGAGGGAGATCTGCATCTAACAGATATTTCACAACACCAAGAATGGAAACATTGGAAATAATGACATTAGACAAGACGGTTTTTGATTTATGGATATTTTACACTGTCTAAACAGGGCCACGAAGGACAGATGACATCCAAAGATGGTTTGGAAAACATAAATTGTTTTGTTGAAAGTTCATGTGAAGTTGTGTATTTTGTTTCCCACATTTTCTCAGAAGTGGTCAGTTTTAAGAAATTCTTGTTAACTGTGTTAGGCTCGCCTGTGAATGACCACTGTTAGAGCTCAGAGAAAACAGAGCAGAGGAAGAAAGGACATGTGGAAACATGTGGTGGTTTCTGCCTTGTTTTGGCCCCCTTTAGAAGTCCGTCTCTGTTTGGCTTTGTCATGGACATCTGTAACACCCAGACGTTTGGACGGGCTGGATCAAGTCAATTTGAAGTTAATTCTCCTGCTGTTTCCTTTCAAGATGCACATTAAGTCAAACAAAGCTTCATAAATCCTGCCTGCACTGATGGCAGTGTCTGTGGTGTGGAGGCCTCTCACTCAACTTCCAGGATATATTTGTCTTCATTTCAAATAGAATATCTTTTTTAGATATTTTTGTCTTGACAGTACCTCTTATTCTGTACATACAAGCTAACAAGTATCCACACTCAAGAATAGCTAAATCAAGCTGGGTTCTTTTCTTTTTGTAAAATAATTCAAATGCTCTCATGTTTACAGCATGCAAAGATGTCCGAGTTATGTGTAACAAAATTAATTTAAGAGCCTTTTTGTGAATGTCGTCCAAGCTACACTCAAAAGTTTTATAGAGTGAAAGAAACATTACGACATGGAACCAAAATTAGCGTGAAATGCAAAAAAGAAACAACAGCAGGCAGGCACAAAATGTTTTCCGTCCAATGCACACATTGTTCCTTTTACTGTGTGGAGACGATTCAATTCATGCTGTAGCTGCTTTCTCTTTGTTCTTTTATAAAACTGAGCACTTTTTGTTTTATATTACCCCTCAATTATCAGCTAATCCAAGTTTTTTTTATATACAAAACACCTCATTCAAGTTTTCCTCTTCTTAAGTTTAATCGGGAAGAAAGAGAGGTTCTTATTCTACATTCATACATTTGTCTTTTCTCAAAGGTCTTCATGGAGCTGGGTGATTTCTTTAAATGAATTATGGTACAGTGTATGCAGTGTGGGAAAACATACACTACTTGTCATTATCTGCTTAAACCTACCCCACACAAATGGAGTGGCATATTTGATATTGTTAAATAAAATAAATACAGCTGAATAATTGCTTTCAGTTGTTTAACTTGGCCAGTAAGACAAACAACACTAAAATGGAAGGAATTTGTTCTCATAGATCACCTTAATTGGATAAAAATGGCTGTGTTTTGTCTAGTTTTTTTCACGTGTTATCTTTGCTTGGTTGTGTTAGGGTGGAGAGTTAAAGTATACAAGAGAAACTGTTGATTGAGGAGTAAGTTGTCATTTTTAACATTAATGTTTGTTTTCTTTGTGTCCAGGCTCACCCTTCCTGGCCGGTGAGGATCGTGTGTTGGGTGGAGTAATTGTCCTGCGCTGCTGCAGATGTGTGGAATCTCCTCCATCTCAAAATATTCAGGGTATACTGGGTGAGACATAAATCATTTCAACAATGATCAAGCTCAAACCTCCACCCTGCAGCTTGTGGTATGCAAATATTTGGCTGTTAATATTTAAAAATCCATCATCAGATTTGACGTGAGGAGGGGGGGGGATTAGGCACTGTGGCTTTCCTGGCTGGTGGTCTGTGTTTTAACTCACACAATCAGGCTCTGGTTTCACACCCTTCATCTCAGATTCAAACAGACCTCCCACTATGGAATCAACAGCTAATCTTCTTCAAGTGAAGGCCTTTTGAACGCTGCCCAGTTTGGCTGATTGTATTTCAGGATCTAATTTCTCTACCTGGAGCTTCTGAAACTTTCAACAATCATTGAATCTGACTTAATCAGAAGATCGTCCAGAGTTACGGCCACATCATTAACTACTGGGTTGTAATGTTGCCCTTTTGTGGTCATTTCAACATGTGTAGCAAACCGTCAGCTCCAAAGAAACCAGTGGATGAGTTCAAGTTCACTGACAAAAGTAAAGCAGATGTTTCTCCAATGTAGAAAGGGAAAGCTTAATGACAAATCAATCATGATGGTAAATAACTAGAGAAGCGCTATTCTGATTAAACTTTATGTCGGACAGAATAATACAATGCTCCAAAGTACAACTTACTTAGTGTGGATACCCTCAGATTACTGTGGAAAGTGAAGGGCTCCGTGTTGATTTACAAGCATAAGTCAACCACATCGTTGGGTGCTGTAATTTCTTCTCACAACTCAGAAGTTTTACCTTCCTCTGCAGTTATGTCACAACTGCAAGTCATATATTTTAACGATGATGAACAGACTTTATCGCAGTTTCGCACATAGTCTCCTGCCAAACCTTTTACTGGCAGAAGAAAATGCTCTTGATTTTAGTTTATTTTGTGAAATTGAACTTGTGTTTTGTAAGAGTTTGTCCTCTCCCCTAGCGTCACTCTTTCCCTTGCTTTTCTTATTTATATATTTGTTCATTTTTTAAATGTTTGTTTTCCTGTCCTAATCATCCTTTGCTTTGTGTTTTCACAGTGGAGTTCCTATGGAGTCACACCACAGAGAGCATGTGTGTTGGCTACATGTCTGCCCAAGATAGCAAGGCGAAGGTGAGCGTCACAATTAGCTTGACAAGCTAAATGAATTGTAATGTTTGAGTTCATGGGGACAGCTTGGTTGGAAACAAGTATGTTTAAAACTTGATGTTGGTTTATTTTTTGTTATTTTCTAAAGTGCCTGCTATTGCCTTTATTTGGAGATGCGCTATGCGCGCACAATGTATTTATTGCAATGCTGCCATTATTAAATACAGGCTACAGCTTGTATTAATAATGGCAGCATTGCAATAAATAAATTGTGCGCGCATAGCGCATCTTCAAATAGATGCACTCAAAACGCATTGTTGAGGTTGAGCTGTGATAGACCAACATCTTTTTGCAGAGATTGCATTTAACTTCCTTTGGACTTGTAAGTTCGAAGTAGTTCCACAAGGAGGAACTCTTTTTACCTGCCGCTTTGTTCATCTTTAGTCGCACGGGAGAGGGAGAGGGAGAGGGGGGGCGGGGGCGGTGTGTAGCGTGCTGCAGCAGCAGTCTGCTCTGCACGCAGGCTTCCTCCAAGTTTACAGTAAAACAAACTGGTGGTGTGACCAATGGCCATTTACAATTATTAATACTATTACTATTATTATCATTAGTCTATATTTTGGTTGAAACTAAGCCACAAAAAAAAAAAAACATAAATAAATAATAATAAAAAAATCAATAAATAAAATCGATTTTTAAAAATAATATTCGATTATGGAGACTGTAACGAATATTCGAATAATCACTGGCATTCCTACAAAGTAGAGTGTTGCAGCTTATATGATGGGCCTGGTATTCTTTTGACTTACAACTAAGCTGTCTCCAGGGTTGGGAGGGTTACTTTGTAAATGTAATCAGTTACTGATTACTGATTACATGGTTCTGAAAGTAATCCGAACACAGTTACAGTTACGTGTCTTAAAAAAGTAACGTAATCAGATTACTTTTAGATTACTTTTGGATTACTTTCTTTTTCCATCACAGATGGGTATGTTTTGGTGAACAGGAGACACAAAAAGCAAAAGGAATGTGTTTTTACTGTTTTAATGGCTTACCAAGAGCACAACTGAAACATCACATCTGAAACGATGTAACAACATAATAAACTTGTTGGGGATGCAGCTTGGGATGTGAGGAGTGAGGGACACGGCTTAGAACGGACATGAATTAAAATGTCAAACTCGGACTTCATTTTAAGGACATTTCGGCCAGGGGTGTCGAGCTATATTTGTTTAAGCACCGGATTGGCAAAACAGGAGAGTGTGTGCACCAGTCTGCCTTGATCTATGAATTCATGTCTGTGACTCTCACAGTATCTGCTGCCCGCAGCTGTTTTATAGAAGGAAAACCTCTTCATGAAATCTCTGCAGCACCAGGAGGCAGCGGGAGGGTTAACTCAGCCTCTGAGAAGAGGAGCGCGCAGTGCCTTTCACGCACCGCCTTCACTGTGTTTACCTTCAGGAATAATCATTAGAAAGGCTAAAGAGCGACCGCAAGCTGATGTGTTTTAACCACACACGCGATTTAAACGCAGACTTTTGTTCCTCCATGTTTCGTTGTTATTGTTTCACTGAGCGGACCCGCGATTTTTTTTCAAACGCTTTTTTGGTCCATCTGCGGCGGTAATAGGTTTTGTGGGCTGTGATGATTCGGCTGTACCTACTATGAATATTAAATGTTGTGAGGAAATCTTTCCACCAATAATTCCAATAAGTAATCCAAAATGTATTCACTTCAGGTTTACGAAAGTAACTGTAATCAGATTACTCGTTTTTCAAATGTAACGCGAGCTGAATACAGTTACTTGATTTTTGTATTCTGATTACGTAACGCCGTTACATGTATTCCGTTACAACCCAACCCTGGCTGTCTCTGTTCCTTCAATTCACCTGCATGAGCCAGTCATCCTACTTTTTTGCTAACAAAAATCTGCATTTTTCCTCACCATTTATATCAAAGTCTTGAGAAACTGCAGGTTTTGAACATGTTGACATCACTGTTGACTTGGGGGAGAGTCAAAGTGAGAAGATACACGATAAACAGGTTAATGCTTTCTTCCCAGACACCACTGCCCATTCCTAAGCAGTAGCTAGTATAGCAACAGGTACATACTCCCTCACCAGCTTCCCTTCATACACTGAAGGTTTTTAGTCACTGGATGGCACAACCAATCCAAGGCCACCCCAAGTCACTGTGGCGTGGGTAGGGATGTTGCCTCTGCGCCACCTGTGCCTACTGTCATGTTGGTATGCTGTAGGTTTTGGATTATGGTACTAAATATTTGCAGAACTCTTTCAATTATACGTAACATTTATAGTCTTGTAGAAAAAAGATAAATAGTTCTAGAATATATTAGGCTACCTGTGTGTTGGCTGACAGGTCCCTTACTTTCTAAAAATAATTAGCATAGCCACTTGGCACATAGAAGTGTTATTTGAATCAGTCAATGTGGCTTCTTTAGCAACATGGCTTGATGCTCTGGCCCTCTGGCTGTAAATGGAGCCTCGGCCCTGACTGATTTGTTTGGCAGTATCTCTGTCACTCTGCATAAAGAGAGGGCACTGTTGTTCCTGCCGGGTTCAGATTTCAAAGTGTTTGCCCTCTGTGCCGCCTCCCCCGCCCCCTCACCAGCCCTCTCCTCCGTCCCTTGGTAAATCTCTCTCGTCAGTCCCCCTCTCTGCCCCTACCTGGTCCTAAAGTACTTTAATGTTTACTGAAAGTCATGCACCACGGGGAATATCAGTATCAATCTGCATATTTGTCAGATGTGCCCTGTGTATTGGGATTTGAGGTGGAATGTGAGCAAGCTCCCCTTTCACGCCTGTGCCAACATCAAGAGGTGAGCAGAACACAGTTGACTGTGCACTGTGCAGGGGCGCTTCAACCACCAAACCAAAACTTTGTTTTTATTTACGTTGCTAGAAAATTAGTGCAGTTGTATCTATGTGCTGTTTATAAAAATGAATTCCAATTGAATGTGCAAGGGATTACATTTACTGTCCTTGGACTCGTGATATAGTGAAATTAACTAGGTGATAGAGGAGAAGTTGGTCACCTATAGAAATTGTGGACTTTAAATAGTCAAGTAAAGGAAGAATACATTATTTATTCTCCCAATGTTCCACGAAACTTTCTTTTTACTACAGTGGTTCAAGCTGCACCTCCATATATTAGAAAACAGTGTGAAGAACTACAGAGGAGCAGAAAAGCACACTTAAGCACTTGCATTCAAACTGTAGAAACGTCCTCAGTCTGGGCACCCCACATGCATTAATGTAAGCACTTTTTGCATGAAAAACTGTGTTCAGTGGATGAAGATCCAGGAATATCCTCTTGTCAGCAGTGGTTTCTGGATCTCCTGGAACACGGTATCCACTTCCTCTCAGCGGGGCACTGGTGACACGGTGATATTGGAGAGTGAAGTCGAGATACACAGCTGCTCCACCAAACCTCACACTGCTCTACCAAGCTCCCATGAGCCTCCGTGGCTCTCATCATCAGCATACCAGAGAAGCTGGCTGTTCTGTCCTTCACGCCTCCTCACTGGGTGCAAACAAGCTTTTTACCCGTTTGTCCCCCAGCTGAGCCCAGAGTTGGCCCCCGCTCCCTGCCAAAATATCTTCCATTGAGGGGATTCAATAAGAGAGCATCTGTTTTCTCTCCAATCTGGTGAGCCAGAGATGGAAACCCATAATGCGACTAGGCTCCAGTCATGATATCTGTTGTTTGTTAACTCAGTCTAGGAATTGATCTGAATACTATGGAGGAGGCCCAGGAGGTGGCACCTGCATGTCCATGGCATTGATGACAGATTCATAGACAGTCTTCTTCAGTGTATATGGGATGCCGAATGCCAAACCAGCAGTGTAAAACAAATTCTTCTAACAGGGACTTCCTTGACTGTGTTTGGCCAAAGATATGTGCCGATGAAAACGTTCCAAAGAGGACAGTTCCCCTTGAACTCTTAATGCGTTGCTTGACAATTATTCTTGGTTATACACATGACATTTTCTGTGCTCAGTGTTGCAGAGATTGAATTTAGAGCTGGAGCCATCCACTGCCTCATTTGCTATTCCTCAGACATTCCTCCCATTCCTGTGAGCATCCCACTGGGCATTTCTAGCCAGCCAGAGTCCATCTTCCACTGCCTCACCATGATAAGAACATGAAAGGGCTGATACACAGTAGCAGGACAGAAGTCAGGCTGGTTTAATATTGTACATCCACCTTTGCTTGACAGCGTTTCAATTCTCAGATTTGTACATGTATAATTATTTTGACAAAAAACCGTTCCATAAACCCAGGGAACAGTAAACTTGAGTCCAAAATGTGTTGGATGTCAGACCAGTTCTTTCAGACACTTTACGGGCAGTTCTTCTGAGCCTTTTATTACTTCTCAATCAGATACTGTTTTAGGGAAAGTTGAGTATGTATTATAATCTTTTTGACGTTACATTGTAAAATCGCCATAAAGCACAAGTGCTGCAGAGAGAGAGAGAGAGAGAGAGAGAGAGAGAGCATGAGCATCTGGTTTCATTCAAACGCTCACCTGTGTTTGCACTGGACGGCACATCAGAACACCGAGCCACGTTTTATAAAACTACACAAAGCTGCGCGAGCGGGCTACTGGCGGTGCTTCTGAAACAGTTAGACTTTTGTTTTATTGTTTTTCATGATTGGACAGATGAAAGAGAAGTGTAGGGTCCACAGCACCGCCGCCATGGCTCAGATCCCTCCACCAGGACATTATTACCACTATAAAGCTCGCTGAAACTGTGAAAGGCCAAAGAAAATCAAAGGGCATGCAACGCAGCCTCCTGGTTATTGTCTGCTTTGTGTAATACGTGACAAATGTGTTTTACTATGGTGCATTTTCTTTTTACTATCATTCGCGTTGAGAATAAATAGAATATGATTGTTTTTTTTATTTTAAAAAGAGAAGAATGTGAAAACCACAACACTAGAATAGCGGCATAGTGAAAGAAACACATTTATCCTCTGCTGTGGTGTTAATGTGTGGCTCCGCCAGCTCCTAAACACATCACCAAAGAATGTTGTTTTTCCTCTAACAGATACAATGGAGCTGTGTATTCCACGTTATATTTTGACTCAGTCGTAGGCCTGTCATGTGGTAACATCAGTCAATGAGTTTGGAGTTGACATCTGACTCACTAGGTTTGCGCGTCTTCATATGGAGGTCATCTATCATATATTAGACTATCATATATTTATTTTCTATTATTTTCTCCTGGCTTTCTTTTTACATTACAATATTTCAGTTCAATAGTAAATTGGAGTTAAGATTCGGTAAATTGCAGTGGCGAACCGTGTCTATCACAACTGGACCTTCTGTACACACACACACACACACACACACACACTCTCCCCCCCGCGGCATTATAATGTCCACTGAATTGTCGTCTTGAAAATTCAAGACGACAATTCATCTTCACCTGTTGCACTTGTCATTTCAACATTAAAAACAATAAAATGGCATGAATTGCTTCGTCGCCTCCGGGCGAGACAATTTGGTACGGCCCTCGAGGTAATTTATAAACACACGCAATAAAAAAAAAATTTTAAGAAATCTAGACCGCAAAAAAATTAAACAAGCGAGTGCCTGTTTTTCCTGACCAAGGTCAGGGTCCTTGAACACAACACAAGCCTAACGTGTCATCACGTGGTATATGTCTCGACCTTTATATATACAGTCTATGGCAGGGGTAGGCAAGTAAGTTTGGCCTTGGGCCAATTTTTTGCTGAGCCACAAGATGGCGGGCCAGAACATAATCAAAGCCTAATTCAAGGAATTGATTTTGGTAAGAGGGCGCAGCGCCCCTGTTCCTCGGTTCAGAAAGAACGCTGATATCGCTGATAACCGTCCCCATCAACACTCTGATGCGCAGTCAGATCCGCTGATTGGTTCAATAGGCGCCCAATCCAGAGCCTCTGGCTAGACCCGCCCAAAGGGAGGCTCGTCCTCTCTAGCCCCATTTCAGTCCCAAAGCCAGGGCTATTATCTGTATTTTAACAGACTTATCTTTTAAATTGAGTTGTATTTATTGTTCTCTTCAAAGTTTATTTTTCTCTGAAATTGTAGGGAGGATGGTCCTCCCTTTCCTCGATGGACGAGCCTCCACTGAGTAAAGTAGAGTTATTAACTAGGTAGCAGTGTTACTGTATTTAACATATTCTGATAAGTATTGTCAAGTTCTCTGGGTTTTTGGCATTTATTTGAGTGTTTGCACATTTGAGAGGCTTGAGGGGCAACAGAGAATCCTTTTTCCTTTTCTTTATTTCGACTTTTCAAGGACACATTAGGATTCTTTCAGGTTGAAAACCTTTAAAAAATATCAAAGGACAAAATAAATCAATTATAGCATGTTTTGCTTTGCAATTTAATATATTATAACCTAAATTAATCAGTAACCAAGTATTTTACTCAAACTCAATGTATTTAATAGTTAAATAAGTACTTTAATTGACCTGGTTCCCCCCAACCACACATTTGCCATGTGTGCGACTCTCTGGTCCTATGTTGTAAAAAAAAATTCAAAAAAAAAATACAAAAATGATATTTTATTTTTGATTCTCAAAATTACAGGCCAAATATTATTGCTGGCGGACCAACAATGGCCCGCGGGCCGCCTGTTGCCGACCCATGGTCTATGGTCTCGACTGACAGGGGTGCAGTTCTGACGGGGAGCACCAGAACGCCACTCCAGCACTTCAGAAATTGCAGTACCGATAAGGAGCCTTGTATGCCGCAGTTTCTGCGTGTCTGTGTCTTTAGTTGAAAGCCCAGTGGCGATCTGTTCATCTGTCATACTGATCATACAGTCAATAACTTTGTTGTTATTAGCATCTGGTTAGCTAGCTATGCTAACGAATATAAGACGCTTTTTCTACAACCAGTGAGGTAAAGGCACATCTTTATATGATCATTATAGTAGTCTGCTTCCAGTTCTGTTTCATCTGGGTGTTGAGAGATGTATCCATAGATCTCCTGATGTTGCTCTCAAAGTGCACCAGATTGATGCTTTTAACTTCAACATTTAAAAAAAATCTTCCCGGGGGAGCAAGCCCCCGGACCCCCCTAGAGGAGGTTAGGTCCCCCCCCCCCCCCCCCCACTTAAATCATATTCACATGGATAGGAAACTAAATACATTTGCACACATCTTGTGTCCATATCTTTCTGTTTTGCTGGTCACGCCACACCGTGCACGTGCATGCATGCGCGAGTCATGGTGAGATATCTGGATTAAGAGGTTGCTCTTTCTTTGCACAGAATGAAATGAATGGGCTGTGATTTTAGTTTTTTTAAGCAGAGGTCAATAATTTGTACGGCCCTCTGAGGATATTGTAAAAATTGAAATGGCCCTTGAGAGGAAAAAGGTTCCCCACCCCTGATCTAGATCCTCTGTCTCGAGCCAGTTAACTAGCGGGCCTTCTAGAATACCCTGGAACCGAGGGAAACGCTGAAAGAATACGCCCATTGGCTACAAATCAATATATGATTGGTTGATCAAACTGTCAGTCCAAACGTACTTTCTCATTCAGTGCAACGGCCAGGGCATTCGATCAAGGATGTAGAATACCTTGGTTGAAGGATATTCTACCCAGAGACCCAGAACAAGATCTGATTGGTTGCTTTCTTTTCTAACACAAAACCACTGAAATGCGTAGTGCATGGACCGAGAAGGACAAACAAATCAACGTAACACTGTAATATTACAGATCAACAACACAGATACCATTCTCATTTATTCCTTTTATATACATTTTATTTATATAATTAAATCTATGTTTTGTTTGTTTTTTCTGAGTGTTCCAGGGTATTCTCTGAATACCTTGAAGGCCCTGACGGTTCGCCACTGGTAAATTGTAAAGGAGATGTTTAGATGTTAATCCGACCCACCAACAGACAACGTTAAAATCTGTAAAAATCTGAATTTTATAAGTTCGATTGAATTTGAGATTTATTTTTTAATGTTGTATTAGTCAATTTATTGAACATGTCAGAAATAAAACAAACAACAATAATAATAATAATAATTATTATTATTATTATAACAAAGAGAAGCAAATAAAACTAAAACTTTCAAGGTACAAAAAAAATAATTGAATGATTGAAGTATAACAAATAACTCTTTGGCTACCATCACTCATTGAAATAAGCAAAAACATGTCTTTCAGGTAATGACCAGCCAAAGTTCTAATTAGTAGTCTTCTGTGTTGTTTTGCAAATGGTTAAAGAATCACCAAGAAAATAATGAAAAGCTTTACTATTGCGTGTCCCCTGCAGACTAATGAACAAGTATAAAGAGTAAAGGTGCAACATTATTACTCCTATGTGTTTACACGTAAGGCCTCAGCATTATTTGTGTGATGTTGGCCCACTTGATGTCACAGAAGTGTTGGGACATCTGTTGTGTGTTGCCCGGAGCACTGCTCATCCTCACCACTGTGTCCCCCGCAACCTGTAAACTTCTGAAATAGCGTGGCGGCTTGTGAATGGCACGCGATGCTCTTAGCACTGCGGTGGTGTAATTACTCTCTTGTTTGGTTTAGTAAGCCGTCTTTCTCTTCCTGCTTAGTCACTCAAGTTGACCGATTTTTCCCAGACGGAAATAAAAAATTAAGGTCTTAACATATGCTGCAGGGTTACGCGCAGGGGTGAGGGTTAGGGCACATTTGGTGTCACGTTTTCCTGCAAAATATATGAAGTCATACAGCTAAGCGCTAATTGTGCCCAGTAGTGTATTTTCAGCTGTGTATTCAATGTGGTTGGAATTTAAAAGAACATTGCAAAGCTCCGTCCCTCTGACACGCAAACATCGTAAGGAAAACATTTGACATGTCACCATTAGTTGATGAAGTCTCAGCTATGGACCTTCAGTCAAGACAGTTTAAACAAGGCCTCCTTTAACCTCATTTTTAGAAGATGAAGGGGAGAGGATGAACCCAGAAAGGGGTTCTGGAGGCGTAATAGCCCCTGAGAGTGTTGCCATGTGTGCTTGGCCTTGTCTGGCTGATGTCCCATTGTAGTGACAGTTGCCCTCGGGGTGCCAGGGGGCCATAGTCCAAGCCTACACAAAAAGAAGCCCTGTGGAGATGAAGGCTCCTGCCACTGGAAGAGTAATGTCAGTCCAATTCAGAGGCCTGGTAAATGAGTGGCTGGACTCTTCTTCTCCCAAAGCTGGAGCCAGCGTTGCCCTCTGTGGAGAGAGGAAGGAGGATGATGGCCATTATTGGCTCAAAGAGAGTTGGCCACCTTTGATCTCCCTGTTGAAGCATCACTCCCGTCTTCACAGCTGTGTTTGCCCCTTTCCTACTCCTCTCTGCTCGAGCAAAGAAACACTAGCAGTCTGTTCCATTCATCCACTTGCTCTGTCTCTCTATAAATACTCACTTGGCATCTTCAGACTTTAGGGGTATATGCCCATTATGCAAGAGTACTAGTCCTATGTGTGTTCTATACACCAAATATATTAGCTGTGTTGAATGTATCACCCTTTTAAATGAAACGGGGCTGAAACAGAGGGGTTTATGGGATGCTACAATGCATGAACTGTTTGGTATTTGGAGCCAAACACTTCAGGGACATGTTTTGTATATATCTGAGACCTATAATATATTGATGACAAAGAGTATAGTAGGGGACCTTTCAGTTGTCATTATTTTCCTATTTACTGGAATCCAAGAGTTCAACAGCCTTGTTAGCGTTTCCTTACCCTATGAAGTCTTTCTCTGTATGTACATCTTTCCTTTGGTAATCTTCTCATTGTGTTTGTTTTTGATGCCTGCAGACACACATATCCAGACTGCCACCTGGGACCGTTCCTGGACAGTGCTTGGCCATCGAAGGCGGTGTGTGTCGACTGAGCGTGGCGGAGTGAGACGCATTTGCCCTCCTTCTGGGCTTTGTGAGCAATACTCCAACACAAAACCTTTCCACCTAACACAGACACAGGCACACACCGCCCTCACCTCCCCACCACCTTTGTGATGCCAGAAGTAATATGCTTTAGTGTTTTAACAGGTGCTGAGGGAGGGTGTTAGCTTCTACTTAGTGCACTTACAGGACTTCCTTTTGCCACTGTCTGCCTCCAGCATGTTCTCTATACAACTTCCCCACACACTCCACAGTGTCACCTGGATTAGACTTGATGCACCATTGCCTTGATGCATTTTTTCTTACTGTTACTCCTACCCTTTCCTACTCCTTTTTTCCTTTTGTACATAAGTTATGGTTTAGGAAAACAGGGTGGATGTTCATGTTGTTTTGTAACGCTGAACAGATGTGACTTTTTCAAGCATTTAGGAATTTAAAAAGCAAGACCTTATTTTATTCCAATGCACCTTGTGGAATATCTGCCACTCGAGGTTATTGTTGAGTGAAGTGTTTATAGCTGTGAGAGTTTAAAGCAATTTACAATGTTAACACATACACATGTACTTCCATGTACACATATCGTTATTAATCCTCCAACATACTGTCAAATGTAGCAGAATGTGCATCTTAGTCAATGATGAATTGTATAACTATTTCAGCCATAGAATGCTTTTATTGTTTTACAATGTGAATACTTAGCTAATGCATGATGCAACATGTACAGAAAGCCTCTCTGACAGGTGTAAAGTTAGAAAGAAGGGGGAAGCTATGCACTTCCAGAATGATGTTGACACATACAAAGTGCTCATGTAGCCGCATTTGATCCCACCTCCAAACATGACTGTTAGTCATCATTTAAAAAATGGCAATTTGTCTAGTCACATCGACAGAGACGTATTTTCTTGCTAGAAAATATCCTTAAAAAGTAATTTATGTATAAAAACCCATGAGTTGAGAATAGTACTTGACAGAAGTAAGGGTCTAGATTTCTGATAACCAGTGCCTCTGGTTTTGCTCAACAAAAAACATAATCAAGCTTGTTTATTCTTTACTTGAAAATGCAACTAATATAAAATGGTATAAGCTATGCTAACATGTGCACAGCTCTCTACAGTGCTCAACAAGTAAATAAAATCGATGTTGCTACAATTTCTGTGTCTATCTTTGTCTTTGAAAATCCACAATACGAGACAGAGTCCGTCAACCTTTCCAGAAAAAGAAACAGACAGAATAAACGTCATGATCAGATTTGTGGACTGCTAAAACATTTATAGTCTGGGATTAAATTACATGTTTGACAGGAACTGGAGTGGGAAAGGATTCTGCAGAAGGACGTGTGAGCATGCAGGAACATTTCAACATGAGTCTGTATTTGTTAAATAACCTCGATGACTATATCAAAAATAAATGGTGTGTTGTGATTCCCTCCCACACAGACAAACTACATGTTCCGTTTCTGAGCCTCAGTTTTGTTCTGGATTACATAAACAACATTTCCATCCTCCACTGTTTCTCTCAAAAATACTTTTTTCTTCTGATTTGATTGATTCCTCAAAGAGGCTCTTATTGGAAAGGGCAGTTATTTATATCAATTGTATCTTTCTAGAGCAAGAGTATGTCCAGCTGCCGGCTCTGGACCGTGGCCACTGTAGTGTCTGCGAGGAATGTGCAATAGATGTTCAAGAAGATAAATATATGCACCGTTTGAAGAGGGAGAGATGCCTCCCTGTCAGTGCTCCATGCCTGGTTTTGGGAAAGGACCACGTGATGATGCCGCTTTGCCTCTCAGGTGTAAGATGTCACAGTCGGTTGACATCACTGAGCTGCAAAATGTATCTGACCGGTCAGGAGCAGCAGCAGAGGGATGATAGGGTTGCTGCTGCACATGTTTGTTTTTGTTCCACAGCCCCCTAACCCCTGGGTTGATCCTGATCTAAAAAAAAAAAAAGGGTAGGTTACCTTGCCCCTCACCCACACTCACGCCATCCTCCATTAGCTTGATCATGTGTTATTACAGAGCCCTCTCTTTCATCAGGGCTAATCTGTGTTGCCGGGAGACCCTCTGCCCCATTCAGTGCAGAACCTTCTCCTTCAAACATCATCCCTCTGTCCCCGATCCCCTCAGCTTTGAAAAAGGATCCTGGGTCTTTGAAAAGGGGACGGGGTCCTGAACCATTCAAGGTGTATCCAATGCCTCGCGCTCAGCAAGGCTCTTAAATGCAAAACAGACGGTGGAGCTAATAAAGATCAAAGGCAGCAGCCTCGCCCGCCTGGCCTGCTGTCCTCACATGCCAGGCGCTGCTGTCGCACTGAATCACGACTATGCAGCTTCCATGTTGTTCTGACCCCCTCTACCCCCCTCCCTCACCACAGAAGCGCCAACAATCCCTCTCTACACGTTACAGTGTCAGTGTCAACAACAACACACTAAGGGTAAATAAGCAAAACAGTGTACTTTGCCAAACCGAGCAAGAAGATTCAGAACTCAGAAATCTCTCACCTTGAGAAATTGCATTTGAGTGAAACTGATTTACTTCTGGGGACACATGAGCATATACAACGTGGTGGTACATTAGTCATAGCTCAATTTAAAGCATGACTGAATATAATAACTCTTTTATGAGGAGGCCAAGCAGATTTTAATTCCCCCCCCCCCCTCCGTTTGTCCTCATTTGTTTGTCCACAGCTTTGCGTGTGGATATATTAGCGATGTGTGTTATTTTAGCTTTTATTTCAACTGGTGTAGAAGAAACGAGCCATGGACAGGTGACAATTAAGGGGAAGTTAATTGCATGGTCAAAGTGGATTAGAGTTATGCGCTTTGTGAGAGTATCTCAGCGATGTAAGACACCCTGCCTTCTCAGATGCTTCACAGCTACTTGACCCGTTTGTTCAGCTGTGCACCCCTCTGCTGGAACCATCCACTCCTCCCCTGTCTCAATGTGCAAAGGTGCGTGCCTATGGCAGGCAGATCGCCAGCAGCCCCATCCCAGTTTTACCAGTATGACGTTGGGGGTGAATGTGGAGAGGGAGCATGGATGTATAATAAGAACTGAAAATAAGAGGGAGGGACAGAGTGGTTAGATAAGCAACCTCCAGGTCCAGGTCAGCTATTCCAGATTAGAAGAGCAAAGAAAAACCTTTTAATTAGGTTTGCCGTGCAGTAAGAGCCCTGCGGTATTGCGGCCCAGACACTTCCTGCATTGTGCTACACCACCCAAAAAGGAGTCAGCACGAGGGAGCGAATGAAAGAAAGTGTGAGAGAGAGAGGCTAAAAATGGCACCACCACATCTGCACCACACCACAAAACAAAAGACATGCCTGATTTCCACCATGCTCCGCGGTTTCTTACCTAGAAGCCCTACAGTGAGCTCCAGTGTGGACAACAATACCACCTGGACTTGTTTTATTTGAATGATTTCAGCTGAGCTTTCCTTTCATTCATTCCAACTTTAACACATCCAAGTTTCCACTGCTTTTTTTTTTTAAACTTCTCTTGTTTTCCTTTTTCCCACAGTTAGCTCATGTGTGGAGATCTCCTGAGAAATCCTGCAGCCAGGCCCGTCAAACTCTATCTCAAACTGCGCAAGTACATTGGACATAATTTCCTTCTCATAACAAAAATAGAGGCAAAATACCAACAATCATATCTTGGTGATGCTTAATGAGCCCTTTCGGATCCTTGACAATATACCACTAATATGGTGCTTTGCATCCTTTGAAACATGCCAGAGTAGACTCCTGGAAATAGTAACACAAAAGCGAGGCCTCACTGACGCACCACAACCAACAAGTTTTCTCTGCACTCGCTTGTCTGACTCTACAGTATCTCTGCCCTCTCATACACGTTCCCACCAAATTACACTGTAATGAATCTATATCCCTACCTTCGCAATGGCACAGTAGGGAGATGAAATGAGAGATGAAAAGTGAGGACGGTGTACGAGTAATTGCCTGCTCTCGAGACACGTGGAACCTGTCTGGAGAAGAGATACCATGGGCGGAGGGAAGGGGGGGGGGAGTGGTGGAGGTATGTCATCAATTTTAGCTTGGCCTTAATGCTTTAGAATATAGACGAACACCTCACTTTGATCTTCATGGCCTGTGCTGCAGACGGTCCGCAAAGATAACCATCCACGTCAGTTACTGTAATCTTAGCCTTGAACTATGCTTTTACTGGAGAGAGGGACTTCAAAAGAGAGCTTTACACACTGAGTGATAGCACAGAGTTTATCTACGTTTTAAAAGAACATATCTGCGTGATTTACAGTGAGGGTTTGAGTGCAGGTTGTTGCTAAAAGGCTGATTTTTAGATAAATGGAACGAAAGATGCGCATGGAGGAATTTTGTATGAATAGGGAAGCGACTAGGCGGTTGCAAGCAGTGCTTCTGGGGTGTGGAACGTGCTGGGGCCTGCTGTGTTATAAAGACAAGCCCTGCACCCGGCCAGCTGTGCCGTACACAAGACTGCAGGAATGAGGGCACCATGAATGGCTTTCTCTGTGTGACAATGACTGCAGCACTCAGCGGAGAGGGAATGGTCAGAGGTCCTTGCTACCGACAGGCAGCAGTCAGTGTGTGTGTGTATGTGTGTGTGTGTGTGTGTGTGTGTGTGTGTGTGTGTGTGTGTGTGTGTGTGTGTGTGTGTGTGTGTGTGTGTGTGTGTGTGTGTGTGTGTGTGTGTGTGTGTGTGTGTGTGGTGTGTGTGTGTGTGTGTGTGTGTGTGTGTGTGTGTGTGTGTGTGTGTGTGTGTGTGTGTGTGTGTGTGTGTGTACACTGAAAAAAATTACCCAGGAATGTGAGGATACATGCCAAAGACAAAGAATTTGAGTCGCATTCAAGGGAACATTACCCTCCTCGCCCTCTTAAGAAATATCACAATCCCATCAAAAGACCTGGCCTCAGAGCCACACTGGATGGAACTAATGGAAGTCTTGTGCACTGGCTTAAGCCCGTGGAGGAGTTTGATCGATGAGATTTTTCATGCAGATGAATTTTCCTTCGACAGTAGGAGAGAAACCCAATAGCAGCTGATTAAACCTTGAATAGTGTTAATGTACAAGCTACAAGTGATATTTTCCATGAAGATCATACACGCAGAGATTTGTTTTTCTAGCAACACATTCATTGGGTTTTTCAAATTTATTTATAGATTTATATCTCAAAAAATCCTTCCATACAGTTGAATTTACACATTCTTTACGCTCAATTACGGTTTAATCCTTACTTGAGGCATGAATACTCACATTGATGCCACAGTTTGAGCAAGAGAGGAGTCTCAAGTAAGCATTCAGAATTGGAAACACAGTCATATACACCCAACTCAGACACAGCTACAACTTAATAAATACTTTACAAAAATAATGCAGGCTTTTTACAATAAGGATCTGCCTCAGAGACACAAGGGACATGGTGGTACATGTATGGTTTGAAAAAGAATGTGCATGCTAAATAGACTCACAAGTTTACAATGGGAACCTGGATATTGTGGATGCCAAACCGGGAGAAAATTAGATAACCCTGTTCTCTGCTACCCCCCCCCCCCCAACACATTCCTGAAGGATCTCATTATTCTATTACCACAGGCCTCTCAGATTCACCAAACATAAACAATCTATGGAGACGAAGATGGACACAATCTAAGCGAACATTCCTGGAATAATAATTTTCCCTTTTTAAGAATACAAACTTGGTTCTCCCTTTATTAACCAGATCTGTGAGAGTTATTATTGGTGATGCAAATACTTTTTTTCAGAGGCATATTTTGTATAAAAAAAACTAAACTAGCAACGTCGTCTGACTGGTTTTGGTGGAGTCAAGAAAAGTTCTTTGTGAGCGAATAAGTGTTCTGACTGTACGATTTTCCTTCCTCTTTGTTCAAAAAAGTCTTGTTACTCAGAGCCTAAAAGTTATTGTGTTATTGGATCTAAAACGGTACCATTGTTGAGGTTTAGCTGAACATTTTCGCAGCCGGCTAGAATTCCGTTGCTTCTTCAAACTGTTTGTAGTAGTCGTCATCTTGAGGGTTGTCGGGACACTTCTGCCCGTTGTTTGGCGGCCTGGCTTGGTTGTAGCGGCTCCAGTCTCCTTTGCAGATGATCCAGGGCAGGATGTCCACCTTGTAGTGCAGGTCAGCTGAGAACTCTGTGCTGATGAGGTTGGGACTGCCGGCTCCTTTGCCGCGAGTGATGAGCTTCATGTTGTCGTCGTAGCAACAGTGCTGAGCGGCCAGCGTGGTGGACTCCAGTGTTAGCATGGAGCGGATGCAGTAACGGGCCGTGGGCTTGTAGATCTCCAGCTTCTCTTTTGGCCCGCTGGCATCTTTCCAGCGGAAATCTCGCTGCGTGGGAACATCGTGTACGGCGGCGGTGCTGTACGCCACCTCAGTGGGGTAAGAGCAAGGGCAGCTGGGAAGGTCGTTTGCCACCTTGGTCATGTATTTCTTCA